TTCGTTAAAAATCGCACCTTTTCCTCTTCTTTGGGTTTGTTTGGGATCTAGTTATCTTAAAGTTGCAAAATTTGAAAAACTTTCATGTCTTAGCAATGTGTAAGATTGTGTTTCTATTGAAATCGAAGCTGATCCATGAGATTTCTCTTAATGGGTTGCCTCAAGTTTATGTGTTTTGAGTCTCTTATGTCAGATTTTGTTGTTGGCAAATTTTCAGTATGTCAAATGTGGATTTGCTGGAGAGAATTTCCCAACGTCGGTTTTCCCGTGTGTCGTGGGAAGACCGTTGCTTCGGTATGAAGAATCACTCATGGAGCAACAAGTCAAGGTTTGTAAATATGTGACTTAAATAAGCAAAATCAAATCATTGTTATCCTTTTGGCAAAGTTGATATGCGTAATTCGATTTCATATACGTTTTGGTTTTGTTTCATTTTAGGATATAGTTGTTGGGGAGACTTGCTCTGAGCTTCGACATCAATTGGATATAAATTATCCTGTCCATAATGGTATTGTGCAGAATTGGGAGGATATGGAACATGTTTGGGATCATGCTTTCTATAACGAATTGAAAGTAAATTTCTTCTCCTGCTTCTTCTTGCCATTTTTGTCTCGGTTACATAATTCTTGACTTACTCTAAAACCTTTTTTGTTATTAACAGATCAATCCATCAGAGTGTAAGATATTGCTCACAGATCCACCTCTTAATCCCTCCAAGAATCGTGAAAAAATGGTAGGGTATTCTCAAGTCTTTGTTTAAAAGAAACGGAAAAAATTGCGTTGATGGTTGTTGAAGTAGTAGCTTATTTATTTTTTATAACAGATTGAGACAATGTTTGAGAAATACAATTTCGCTGGCATTTTCATTCAAATCCAAGCCGTTTTGACTCTCTATGCTCAAGGTGCTTATGGAGATTATTGAAGGTTTAGATTTTCTTTCGTGTGTTTATATAGTCACCTGTGAAAAGTGTATGCGTACTTCATTGATTTTTTTTTTCCTGTGTTGAACTCTTGGTTTCAGGTTTGCTAACTGGTTTGGTTATTGATTCTGGTGATGGTGTTACTCATGTGGTAAGCTACAAAACTGTGTAATTTTCAGATTGAATATTGCTTACAATAGAAAACTTAACCGTCTTCACCTCACATCTTAGGTTCCGGTGGTTGATGGCTACTCGTTCCCTCATCTTACCAAAAGAATGAATGTTGCTGGCAGACACATAACAGCGTATCTCGTTGATCTACTATCTCGACGAGGGTGAGAAACTGATTCATAGACTCGCATACATTTTGATGATATGGAGATGTTTTAAATTAGCTAAACTAAAAGACTGTTTGTTCAACAGATATGCGATGAATAAAACGGCTGACTTTGAGACGGTTAGGGAAATTAAAGAGAAGCTCTGCTATATAAGGCAAAGACCTCTTCACAGCTTTTCTCTAATATCTGTGTAGTAATGCATTACAAGAATAGGAAATAAAAACTATTTGGTTTGTCTTTGTTTGCAGTTATGATTACAAGAGAGAATCTCAGCTTGGCCTTGAGACAACCATCCTTGTTAAGAATTATACTGTAAGTTCTCTCTTCTGGTAGGAACCTGTCAGGAGTGGAAAATTTCAAATTTCTAGGGCAAATAAAGGCAAGAAACAGAAACTAGCATACGTTAAGCTAATAGGTATCTAAACTCAGGATCAGAACTAAATAGATAGCAGATTCTTGGCGAACTTGAGTTTGTAGAGATATTTGAAGATACCTGCTTTTGTGTTTTTTGGTAATGAAAAAAATGATATTATCATCCTTTGTTTTCATGCCATCTTTTCTTTGTTTTTGGGCGCTATGTTTGGGATTGGTCATCCGATAGTGGATAAAGTTCATACTTGTGCCAGTTGCAGCCTCAAAAGTTGATAATATCAACTTTTTTTTGAAGTATCAAATTAATTTTTTTTGAAGTACTTATCCGTTGTCTTTTTGAACTGTGATCAGCTTCCAGATGGGAGAGTCATAAAAGTAGGCACTGAAAGATTCCAAGCACCTGAAGCGCTGTTTACACCGGTAAACCTTAATCGCCCACTTTGCTTTTCTCTTTCTGAATTATTTTCAACCCTCCAAGAATTTTGAGGCTGATCACAGAACAAAATCTTTTTTTCAGGAACTCATTGATGTTGAAGGTGATGGAATGGCAGACATGGTTTTCCGTTGTATTCAAGAAATGGATATTGATAACCGCATGATGGTATGTGCTTACTCCTTACTTCAAAAGAAAGATCCAAAACCAATCATATATTGTCTTAAAACCATTTGCTCTTTTTTCACAGCTCTACCAACACATAGTTTTAAGCGGAGGAAGCACCATGTACCCAGGATTACCTAGCCGGTTTGTATTCTTTTTGGTTTTTCATAATCTAACAAGACGCTTGATGGTTTATGTTTAATGTCATGTATGTTCTCTTTGTTTCAGTCTTGAGAAGGAAATCCAGGATCGGTATCTCGATACAGTTCTAAAAGGAAACAAAGATGGCTTGAAGGTAAAAAAGATATCCTGATAATGCGCTGTTCACTTTCAGTCATTAGCTCAGTTTTTAACATTTATTTTTCGGTTTTTCTTATCAATCAGAAACTCAGATTGCGGATCGAAGATCCACCGAGGAGGAAACACATGGTATACCTCGGAGGTGCTGTTCTTGCAGGAATCATGAAGGTAAAGAAAAGTTCAATGCTATCTCTCTTTTAAACACGAAAGCCTTTAGTGAAATTATGATAAGAGAATTCGGATTCGATGTTGCAGGACGCACCAGAATTCTGGATCAATAGAGAAGACTATATGGAAGAAGGAATTAATTGTTTGAATAAAATGAGCCAAGCTTAAAACTTTCAAAAGCAAAACTCAAAGCTTGTATCCCTTTTTTATTACCGTCAGGATGGTTTAATTCCGTTTGTGAATCAGTATTTTAGGTTTCAAAGTTTGAGTACAATTGGTTGCGATTAGGGATCCAAAATACAGTAAAACCTCTGTATTGGAACCATTAAAGTTTATTAATTTATAGTTGAAACAAATTTGAGGAGCCCTATTTCTTGCCACACAAGGCAAGATCCCTATTGAACGGTCTGAAATTCAAAGCATTAAAACCATAAACACAGGAATTAGACCTTTGAGACTTAAATAAGACCTGATCCGTTGTGGTTCTATAACCAGGAATGTTGCAAGAAGAAGCCGAGAAGTTTCTTCTTCCGATCAAACTCGCTTGACAAGAACTCGCGAGGCTGTCTACATCAGCACAATCTAGAGAAGATATGGCTACCTTGTAGAGTCCAAACTCGTTGGTGGTTCTGTTAGCAGAGAATGTTATAGTCTCTCTCGTTGTTGACGAAGCTTCTTTGAATCTGCAGACTATTCTCACTTCCACACCTGTGTCAAGAAACGTTAAGAAACAGAGTTTTTGCAGAGAAAATTAATCAAAGAGAACTTTTTATTTTGAGTTACTACCGGACATGAAGTAACTGTGTTTAGAAAAACTGTTGTTGGAGCAAACATCGCAGTAAACAAAACCCATTATAGTGATTTCTGCATCTGGTTTTGGTTTTGGTGATGAATGTTTTGGAGATAGAGAGTTTACAAACAGAAATTGCAGAAGAAAAAACAAAAACATTATCATTGATTTTTTCTTCATCTTGAACAAAACACGTTTCAAGTTTGGTTTATTTGTTTATGTGGTTGATGTAAGAGTTGGAGAATATGTGTGTGAAGGAAGAAGAAATATAGGGAATTAGTTTTCAGACAAGAAGAGATGGGAACAACTCTATGAAATAGCTTCATGGTTCCTTTCTATATATAGAGAGAGTTATACAAACGTGTCTTTTAACAATAAGGTTGGACATGAAACGGATATCCTGGAAAATAAATAGTATAAGTATATGCAATCCGCTTCCTTTCGAATTATTCGCAAAATTTTCAACAATCCGTCGGATATATGATACACTTGGTGATTTACTCAAACTAGCTAATAAGTGGATAAATATGTGAAATTTACCTAAGTTTTTTTTAAAAAAAAAAAAAAGTATAGGATAAAAAAGAAAGACTAAAAACTAAAAAGGTGGCAAGGGAAAAGTGGTGTTTCTTATTCAAAAGTATTAAATATTAAAAGATACTATACTTTAAAATATAGTATTAGTGTTATATATTTTAATGTTAATAATTTAAAAAATATAATTTTTCTTCATTTTGTAATTGTTATTATGTATCTTGAAGATACAAAAATGGAAATAAATATTATAAATTTATAATATCATGTATATATGTAGCAAATGGATCGGAACGCATATCCGAACTTTTTTTTTTTTAACAAATATATATTAATCATCGCATATCCGAACTTTCTAACATTGCTATTTTTGATTTGCTCTGTTTTAAACGAATACTATATTTGTGACATCGGAATACTATATTTTATTATTCGTTTTGTTTTTAGTAGTTACGAATACTGAAATTCGGATTGAATTAAAGTAAATACCATATCGAAGCGGATCTAATGAATGATTTGTCTTAGGCCTACAAGACAATCACAGAGATAGTGATGGGAGAACAAAGAAAGGCGCATTTGGAGTGAAGATTATAAATGAGAGGAGAGGAATAGAATTAAAGGCCAAAGAAAAGAAGACAAGATAGTGGAGAGACACTGAGTGAAAGTGAAGGTTATAAATGAGGGAATTAAGTGGGAGATAGTGAAGAGACAGTGATAAGTTAGGTGAAAGGACATTTATTGAGATCTCATGCTCTCTGTTTCTTTTTGGGTTTTGTAACTACATCCCCAAAAAATTGGCTTTGTGGAAGTGGAAAGTGATGAGAAAGGTGATGCCACTTGTGTCTAATTATGTATGGACCATATAGTACATATCAAAGTGTTTGCCACTCAAGAACCAAATTGCAATCGTTTAGTAATGGTTTTCATGGTAGGTAATGGACTGAATAGAGATGTTTGGATACAGTTTTCGGCGGATCTCGATAGAGAAGAAACAGGTCTAAGATATACTAAAGATTAACAAAACCATACAAGAATGTTTACAAAGATACTAGAATTAGTTTGTGGAAACAAAAGAGAAGCAACAAACTCTTATCTTTATAAAGGATGCTCCAAAGAAAAGTTTTTCATCACAACTCAAAAGAAACAACTCTAATAGACTAGCTTTATAACGCCATTGATGAAGATTTCTATGAACTTGTGAAGAACATATCGAAAATGAAGCGCGGAAATGGTAGTTTATGTTTTAGGGTCTTTTAGGACAAAACCACAGAGAAGCAAAACTTAACTCTTTCAAATTTTTAGACGGGACTACTTGTTGTTCTCACATTATGGTACATGAACAAAAGCTTCTCTGTGGGGCTTCTTCCTTTTCGATTTTTTTCTCTGTAAGGGAAGAAAAAACAAGATATTAGGCTCAAGAAAACTCTCAAGCATTAATTCCACAAACAAGATTTATGGAGATTAGAAAATAAATGTGTGTAAAGAACAAGACCTGGTCTTGCTTTTGTTGGAGACGGTTGCACGACAACATGCATTGTAATGACGGATTTAGGGAGATCATCAAATGGAGCTTTACACTGTGCAACCGTTTTACCATTCTCCAAAATCTTACCAGCATTTATCAACTTGATGTCACTAGCTGATTTTGGAACAATCTTCTTGTCTACGCATTCAAAACCCTCAAATTCAATTAGTCAATAAGGTACAATAGGAAACAAAATGAGACAAATGCAATTTTTTGTTGAATGCACAAGAATAAGAATATGAAATTCTGCTAACAAGAATCAGAACCGTATTCGTCCCTATAGTCTCTAAAGACATGTTTTGTAGTTTAAGACAAGTGATTAGTAAATACAATCAGACCAATTCAAAAGCCTATGCCTAATGTTGATCTTTGTCTATCAAGCCACAATTGAAGAAACTGTTAAAACATAGATCACAAGATCGAGTAACCATTTAATAAATAGATCAATAAGGAACTTCCTTCTTGTATTTCTAGTTTAAGACCAGTGATTTGTAATCCCATCAGATCCTATGACTTATGTCTGAACTTTGTCTATCAAACCACAAGTGAAAAAAAAAAATGGCTGAAGCAAACGTTCTAAAGCCAATTCTAAAGCATTCAAGAGCACTTCTATCGCATTTTGACTTCTTTCTTCACGAATTAGCCGAAAAAGCAAACCAAAAGACTGTGCTCGGTGCTCACCTTTAGGCCATTCAGAGACAATTCTCTCCTTGAGCATTGAGACTGTGGCAGTTGGAGAGTACTGAAACGGGCCAACATCTGAGCCGTCATATAACCGGAATTTAAGTTCTACCAAATCTTCCTGCGGCATTTGATTTCTCTTTCTCCCTAAACAAAACACTCACAAGATTGCAGCAGAAAGAATTCACACAAATGAGACCTATAAGAAGAGGACAGAGAGATTCTCAAATTCAAAGAATCAATAATGAAATTTCAGTTATTGTCGAAATCAAGAACTTGGACCAAAGAACAAAAAGATTCAGAGAAGACTAGTAATAAGAGCACAGTCAAAATTTAAAGAAATCAATTAAGAAATTTCAGTTATTGTCCAAATCAAGAACTTGGACCAAAGGAACAAGAAGAACAAGAAGCAATAAAAAATCAAAACTTGTAAATCATCTAAGCAACCTAAGCTCCTAAACCGTCACATAAAGTTAACACAAAACACACAAATCTTACCCGAAATAGAGACACTCAATCCAAATGTCAAAGTGTGCTAGGTCTTGCGTCTTGGGAGTGGGGAGGATCAAGAAGTAGGAGAGAAACCCTTAAAAGGGTAAATGACCTAATCTTCAAGTGAAGCTGGTAAAAATCCAGCTAAGAGATTGCTGCTATCTGATTCCTATAAAATTTTCTGATATATCTTTCGTCAGGATTGCCGCGTTACAGGGAATCCCTGACGAGTAAAGAAATAAGATAAAAAGACGAAAAATGTGGAAAAGTATGTTTCTTTATTAGTCAAAAGCAAAGCCCTGTCGGCGTCTTGACCAGAAGACTTTAAAAACACGAGTTAAAACTTGGTCCAATCTGTCTTCCATGTAAATTTCAGAGAAGAAGAAAATTTGAAATCTATCGAATCTTCCAACAATAGTAAAATCTCAGAGCAAAAGAAGGGATTTTTTTATGAAATGTTTACAGAGATGAAGCCTTTTGATTAGTACGCACAATTAGAAAGCATACAAAGCACATTTTAAGAACGTAAAATCCTAATTATCAAAAGACCATTAAAACTATATTTAACAAAAAAACCAAAAAAACAAAGCGAGCTTTTTCCTATATTCACCCCCTATAACAGATTTACTCTACTGCCGAGTGACAGGTGTAATAGGCATTGATGAGTTAATGCCATAGAAACCATCTTGTCCCTGAAACTTCTGGTATGAATTTTCCGATGGAGCAGAGGTTGTTGAAAGTTGAGTGAGCCCAGGAACCCAAGGAGGACCTTGATCTTGTTGTTGCTGTTGTTGTTGTTGCTGCTGCTGTGTTGTTGCAGTTGTGGTTGCTATGGTGTAGTTGAATGGTGTGTGGTTTACAGGACCAGGAGGCTGTAAGGGCTGCAAGAACTGGGGTTGAAGCTGGAATGGTGGTGGTGGTGGAAGCGGTGGTGGGGGTGTGGTGGATGATGTTGTTGCAGTGTTCTGTTGGTGCAGTGGGAGATAGGACTGGTCTTGGTTTTGAAGCTTGGGTCTTTTCTCTGGTGGGTAGTCAACGGATGATAGAGTTTCTGTTACAGCAGGTGGTTTGTTGTTTCCGATGAGGCCTTCGGAGGCTAAGGATGAGAGAACATAGGAGAGCATCTCGGCTGAGGAAGTTGAGGCAGTTAGCTTAGCTACCACTGCGGCAGCCGCAGTTTTTCTTGGGTCTTGAACTGCTTGAGTTGGGTTTGAAGCAAACATAACAGGTGCAGATTGTTCCACATCACTGTGTGTGAAGCTTTGCGGTGCTGCTGCAGCGGATGGAAGTTTGATGGCTTCTTTTGACTCTTCTTCTTCTGTAGCAGGAGGCTGTGAACTACCACCATGGTCTAGAAGCTGTCTGCAGAGATCACCACTTCGGTCTGATTGAAACCGAGCAATCTGAAATCGTAGCACGAAAGAAATCAATTTAACTAAATAGCATGAAGATAAGGCAACATTTTGTTTGGAAAAGCAACCAAGACCCCTAATTAGATTTGAGTCTATCTTCCTTGAACAAACTCACTAAACAAGCTCGAAAGCTAGACCCGCATGTCTCGGAAAGTATTACTGATAACGTTGTGATGTATTGTGTAAATCGAAATGTATAGAATGTGTGAGTAACAACAGATATCACATTTGTCGGTAATAACTCATACCTGAAGGTGGTTGCGGACTTGCTCCAGCTTGAGTTCCTGGACAAAAACAATAACAAGGTGAGGTTTCTGGCAGGAGCAACTAAAGATGTTTTTTTGTAAGAAGTTGTATAAATGTAAACCTGTTCTTGTAAAGCTTCTCTCAAATGTGAGACAAGACTTGTTCTGGATGTCTCCATTGCCCCTAGGTGTTCGATGCAGTCTCTCAATATGGCATGTTGTCCCTGCAACTCCTTTACCAACGCTGGCCCAGGGGTGTGTCCTGTTTAAAGCAATGCTCAAGAAGTAAGATAGTGAAAAGAACTTCATATGATTCTTGAACAAGCCATGGGTTTTCTCTATCCTAAAAGTAAAGAAGTGTGATATATCTACAAGTAGTTACTATAAAGACCAGTTCAACCAACTGTTGTAAATTTTCTTTGGGATCAAAAGTAACCATAATGTGTCGGACTGGTTACTCTGGTTGGTGACTGGGGGCTTATAAATTTGTGGATTCTCTTCCTAATGGTTGAAGTAAGTTCTCTCACCACCATTAAATGATTTAACACAAAAGATAAGCTGAAGATTCCTATCAACTGGTTAGAGCCACCATGTAGAAAGGAGGATTTTGGTTAGAATTATTTGGAAACACGAGAAGAGCATCATGGAAGTAAGAATCGGAAGTGTGGTGGTGTATTAAGATCACTCATAGACCGGATAGACCAAATGAGTTGAGCTTTAGAACAAACATATGTAGAAATCTACAGCTATGTTGATTGTTACTTAATTAGGAAAAAAAACATATCAATACATTTGCAGCAAAGTAGCAGCCAATGGACGGTAATACCTGAACTAAGATCTCTCTCAACCTCTTGTGTTGTTTTCTCAAGGTAACCAGCAGCATTAGTACATTTTCCAACAATAGCATCCTCATCAATTTGTACACCATGAAGAACTTCAACGGCAGACACTACTTTCTCCAGTGTAGATCCATTTGCCTGTCTCTGAGGAACAGACTGCAAAAATGACAGAGATAATTATGTGGTTAGCATGGAAGAACTCGAAAGCAGAAATGAACACATAACACTGGACCTTAAATACTGGTACGAAATTGCTTGTACAAAAAACTCAGACTTACGAGCTTAAGTGGCACGAGATTTCCATTTCTGGTTCCAATTTCAGGCTGCCTTCCCAGAAGTTCTTCTTTAAGAATTTGTCCACGGGATCCAAAAACTTTCCTTTCTTCCCATATATTAACCTTCGAGAGACAATTACAATAATCAGTAATGCAGTTCTCATGTCAAATTCCTTACATCATTATAATAACTGGCATTTCTATGTTCATTAAAATCCCAAACAAAGAGAAATTCAGAGAGTGGTAGATAAAAAATTAACTTCACGTACCAATCGACGTGCAGATTTTCTTCCAAAGTCATCACCATTTTCAATCATATCACGAAGAGCATCAGGGAGTACTTTCCAGAACTCACCTACAAACTCTGAACCTTTTCGCCTGCTATTCTGCAAGATATCATTCGCGAGGTACAAGTATGCCAAACGTTGCTCACGTGGGGCACAGTGAAACTGCCTACCCCATGTTTCTACAACATGCTTTGCCTTGTTCATGTGAAAGATACACCAATGTGATAAAGCTGTATAACGTCAAGGAATAGATACACCAGAACAGTATACAAGGCGAGGGAAAAATAAACACATCACATGAGACTAATCAAAGGGAAACTATTTCACAATAAAAGCAAGCTGGGAGAGTTTAGAAAATTATCCAAGTATATCAGACACCAATATCACTGAAACTCAAAATTGGTATAAACTACTGTTCCAGTAAAAGAAAATCCTGGGGAATTTAGATATAATCTGCTTGAGAAGAGATACCAACACTCTCTCAACTTATACCATTGTTACTCATTTACTTAGATAGCAATTCTGTCTAGTCTTTTCAAAGCACCCATTCAACTACATGAACCAATGAAATTACAGAGCTTTACCACAACCAACATTAGATATACAAAAAGAGGATACTCTCTATGCTTGCTTGAGAATTGTTGAGCTTGGCAAGCTTCTCCACTAATATCTGAGCATTAAATGAACTACCCATTGCTTCAACACCAGCTCAAAACCCAGTGTGCCTTCACAAATCTATAGAGAAACAAAGAAGATACTAGTCAAAAACCCTAGAGTCATCATCAATTGAAGCAATGAAAAAGAAAACAAAAAAGGTCAAAAATTTTGAATACTATTAGAAACAATTGAGCATCAGAAGACAAAAATTCGATTCATTGGCTAATATATTATGGAAAAAGCCAGGATTTTTTCAAGTACACGAGCACTAGCAGCACAAGTAATTCATAAGACTAAGCAAGAACTAGACAATATGACAAGGAAGTGCATAAACAAGACTAGTTAGTGGCTATAGACATCAAAGCTTGTATAAACCCTAAAGAACTAGAGATAACCAGAGACCAATTTCAGTAGAAAGAAAATACGAAAGCAACTAGCGCGAAGAGGAAATTACAGAGAGAATCAATCAGAAGAAGGAGATTGTTGCGATGAGGCTAACATTAGCAGTGAAGTGGGCAACGAAAATCACGGTGAAGAAAACGGCGCCGTTCTCCGATAATGTCTCCAAAATCCGCCGGAGAAGTTTGAGCAGTTTGGGAAATTTTGGAAATAATCTTCGTCGTGGTTAGATTTGGATGAACCACCGGCGATTTCTTTATAAGTTTATGGGCCTAAGTCTCATTATTGGGCCAAAGCCCATATCTATGGTTTTGAAAGTTAGTAATTGACACGTGTTAAATCTATCGATTTTAAATTTTGACACAGTATTAAACAAAAAATTTCTTTTATTCATTTAAAATAAATATAAGGAAACTATACACACATGTCAAATTTATCAACGTGTAAAGCCAAAAAAAATTTATAAGGAAATTATACGTATATATCTTATATGAAATAATTCTAAAAATCTAAAGAAGATAAATATAAGGAAACTAGATGTATCTTACGAAATAAAAATAAAAATTTAAGGAAAAAAATTATAAGGCAACTATACATATATATCTTTTTAAAAACAATTTTTTAAAAGTAAAGAAGATAATTATAAGGAAACTATATGTATCTTATTAAATAAAAAAAGTAATTAAATAATATTTACTAATTCTAATTTAAACCTACTAATAATATTACTGTTTCCTTAAAATTAAAAAAGATTTATGAAATTATACAATCTTATTATATAATATGATAATTAAAAAAAATTTACATCAATTATTAATCCTAGAAGAAAAAAGATTCTAAATACTCATTTTTATAGATAAATAAATAGATAGATAGAAAAATTAAGAATATATGGCGATTGATGCAAATTAAGAATTATGAACGGCGGTAGACATAAAATAGAGTTGTTGTCGAAGAAGCTCGACCCGATGTCGGAGGAGATAAAGAAGGTGGAGAAATAAGAGCAGTTGGGGAAAGAGGGGAAGATACGGTAACGGTGGTGTTGCTGTTGATGACGGTGGTTCAAGCTTGGTGGTGGTGGCGGTAAATGTTGATGAAGGTGGTGGGTCGGAATTAGCGAGATTTAGTATTTATGGTGATGATGATTGTTATAGTTGTGAGATTCAGTTGTGGTGGTGGCCTGGTGGGTTGGAGTAGTAAGACTCGGTGGTGATGTCTGACGAAAGAGAGAAATAGTGATATGGAAAAAGAAAAAAAAACATGGTGGTGAAGAAATCAAACGAGAGGGAGAGAAAGAAAAAAGATTGAGGAGACCGAGCAAATGAGAGAAAAAGAGAGATTTGAGGCTTCTCGCCGACGAGAGGAAAGAAAAAAGAGACAACGAATAACTCACAAGTAATATGGGCCAAAAATTGACAAAAACCATATAGCAAATAGACATTGTTTAATATTATTTTCTTAATTTTTTTTTGCTCTTAGGTTATTTAGTGCATATTCCCTAATTCCTTATGAATTTGTCTTTTGTTTTGAGAATTTTTTATATTATCAAGTAAAGTTACATGATGTGGTAATAAACTGTCTCATATTTTCTCTTTTCGTATTGTCACAATTTTATAATGATGCCAAGCTTTTTTTAAAAAAATCATATGTTTACGTAACTCAAACCATATATATACATATTATGTATATATCGTTTAATGTTTACGTAACTATATTTTTTTTTATTGTCACAATTTTGTTTCCATCTTACCCACATTGAAATTAGAAAGTGTTATACACTTTTTGACGCAGTCGGAAAACCCTAGGTTAAGCAAGCGCTAAACCTAGATTGAAATGAAGTTCGCTAGCGACGAACTTAATGATAAAACTCTGGAATCCACCAGAAAAGGGTCTGGAATCCACCAGGAAAAGAGAAAGCTCTATGTTCTTATTAATTAGAATCAAAAACATGTCCTGTAAATAACCTAGGATCTCTATATATATATAGAGAATAAAACCAAAACATAAAATAGAAAACCCTAAACAAAATAGAAAGCGTGAAATAAATAAATATTAAAAGAAAAGGTAAATTCCCTAAATTTTTCCTACATCAGTCTCCTCCACTTCTGAAGAACTTGTCCTCAAGTTCTCTTCTGAATAAAGAATCCCATCTGCTTTGTCCCGCATAGGAGGGAAGTCATGTAAATAACCGTCTGAATCTAACTCTCTCAAATTAGTTAGAATCTCTGGAAGGTCCTCTGGGATTGTTGTCTTCTTCTTAACAACACTTATCAACCCATTAGTTTTTTTGAAATTCGCATCTAGCCTTTTCTTGTAATGAATCATAACTAAGACGTTTGATTTCTTTCTCCTTGGATTCTCTTCCTTGTAGTGCTTCTCATGTTCATGTGCAATTAACGTCTTGAGATTCCTTTGAACCACTAGCTTCTATTCTGGAGTAATTAACATCTCATCCATTTCTGAAATTCCATAGAATAATAGAATATCAGTCTTCACATGATTGCTTTGTTTATTCCCTTGATCAACTATCTCGTCCTTCACGAGTTCTTCTTTAGCATCCATGTGAGAATCATAATTATTATGTAGATTCTCTTGACCAATCTCTTCCTTCATGGATTCTTCATTAGAACTTGTATTTTCATCAATCACAACACGACTGTTTTCTCCTCGTGGAACCCGAAGTACTTCCTCTCTAGTTTTTTGTTGATATTTAATCTTATTGATTAATACCTGCATATGATGTTCAAAATCAATTCCACTCTGTAGATCTTTAGTTGATTTTTCTCTTCTGCCTCTTTGTTGATTTGTGTTGTTGTTGCCGTTTCTGATCTCGGTTGTCAACAACGTCATCTGATTGGTCAAAGCAGTAAGAGCCGTGGTAAGAGTCATGGTAATAGTCGACGCAAAACCCTCGAAATCTGCTTTGGTAACAGGTTGATCTCCCATATGGCCTATCAAGCTTCAAAAAGAGACGGGAGAAAGCCTGCTCTGATACCACTTGACGCAGTCGGGAAAACCCTAGGTTAAGCAAGCGCTAAACCTAGATTGAAATGAAGTTCGCTAGCGACGAACTTAATGATAAAACTCTGGAATCCACCAGAAAATGGTCTGGAATCCACCAGGAAAAGAGAAAGCTCTCTGTTCTTATTAATTAGAATCAAAAACATGTCCTGTAAATAACCTAGGATCTCTATATATATAGAGAATAAAACCAAAACATAAAATAGAAAACCCTAAACAAAATAGAAAGCGTGAAATAAGTAAATATTAAAAGAAAAGGTAAATTCCCTAAATTTCTCCTACATCACTTTTTCGATGGATGTAGATAATTTATTAAAATTCCATAATACATATATGAACATTTATAAAATATTATTCAGTAACATATAATAAACAAAACTACAAATAGTATTTTATATTGCACATGCATAATTAATCTATATTTAAAAATAATTAAAATACTACATTTTCTAAAATTAAAACGTATTTTTATATAATTTTAGTTAAATTTATTAAAATTAAAATTAAAAATAACAATTTCGACCAGTAACCCGTGCAACGCACGGATCCATATCTAGTGGTTTATAAAGGACGCTTTACGAATCCTATGGGCATTTCATAGCTTGGTGATAAAAGTTAAAACGATGTCATTGAGGTAGTTTTCCAAAGCTTCTTGGAAAGAGTTTTAATTTAATTTACTTACAAGATTTTTGTGGACTATTGTTTTTGTTATTGTAAGATCAAAAATGATTTTTTTTTATTTTTTAAATAATATCTTATTTTAATGAGAAGTTGATGTCTTTCTCATTTGGTCTTTTGTAACAGTGGAGCTTTCAAATAATCTAGAAAACATTCATGTTGAGGGACATTTGTCAAAACAAGATAATTTTTCAAATTTTATGGTAGACGAAAAATTTTGTAAGCTTTTTAACAATGCAGATTCCCATAATGCAGAACAAATTATCATAATTGAAGACATTGTTCAAAGTATAAAAAACCTAAAACCCCAAGTGTAAATTTACTTGTTCATATAAATATAATAATCATCAAAGAAAATATTAAACAAATATAAATATTCATTTTGCAAACCAAACGTATGTAGTGGACTACCCAGTATACAGTCGTTTAAGCGACCATGGATGAAGTTTCTATCGTGAGTGGAGTGCGGCTCTATGTGGAGTTGTATTGAGTCTTGAGCTGTGTTATAAGATGAAATATTCAAACTCTACAGTTCTTTCTACTGTTTCATTTGTTTCTTGTTTAGCAAGATGTGAACTTGTGAACTTTGAAGAAATCTCAATTCTGTGACAACTTTGTTATTGATTGAAGAAAAATAGATAAATCAAATATAAATATTCATTATTAATCAATTATCTCACTATATATTATAGGAAAAATACTAAAACTTATTAATATTGTATATTAAATAAAATTTACAATAAACTAAGATCATTAAAAACATAAATTATCATACTATAAAAGTATTGATAATTGTTAATCAATTATTATTTTTAGTTTTCACACTATATATATATTATTTTTAAAAAATTGTGAAATTGAAATTTAAAAAATTGTGAGTTTACTATAGACTAATTTTCATATATTGAACGTAGGAGCAAAAACAGCACAAATCATTCATATGCAAAAGTTTTTTTTCGGTGTAATGTTAGTACTAAAAAAATTAGATTGAAACCCAGGGTCCATGGATAGAATTTGTAGGTTTTGATTGAAGTTAGGAACCCTTGGCTTCCCTGGTGGATATAACAACCTATGCATTACAAACAATAAATTAAAACTTGTATATATGATTTAAGCAAAATGTAAAGAAACCCATATATAGCATAGATTCAAAACCTAATATCATAAATAATCTAGTTGAAACAACTATACTTCGAAGTTAAATAATGATCACATATACTAAGAATGTTATAATTAATTAGTAGATAGATTTTTTTGTAGTATTAAAACTTGAGAAATTGTTAAAAATACCCCTTTTTCAATACCCCTTTTCAAAAATGCCCCTTTTGAGAGTCCATTTTTAAGTTTGCCCTCTTTTAATTTTTAATGACCATTTTACCCTTATTTGAAACAAAATTAGGTCCACAAAATACAAAATATTTTTTGGCGGGAAAAGTGATCCCGCAATTTTCCCGCCAAAAAATTTGTAAAAACCTTTAAAATACCTTGTAAAATTTTCCCGTAAAAATTTTTCCCGCCAAAAAATTTTCCCGC